TACATATAGAGAGCCCCGATAGCTCATTATGCCAGCTGGGATCATGCTTGGTGGTGGTCAAGGAACGCCGACGTCAGCCCGCGCGGATGCAGACTCTCGCGTGATTTTTTTAAGGCTCGACTGCGTGCGTTCAAACGTTCAACGTTCATGGGTGGGAATCACGAAGTACGCGCAGTTTAGTCACCGGCATGTTGTCCTTAAGGATTCCGTTAAGTGCTCAGACGATCATACTTGTGGTTCGGGATGTCTTGAGACGGAGTGTCTGGTGTTGGGAGTTGGCTCAAGAGCGGAGGTCGAAAGGATCTAGACCTGCAGGGTCTAGCGCACGTCGCACTGCTCGAGCACGTCAGGATAGAGCCCCGGTAACGACCCGGAGGGCGCTGTAGAGTAAGTGATTATCTATCGTGTCAATGGGTGGCTTCCGGCGTCGTCTGTGCGATCTCGTCGTGTGCGCGACTCAGGTGCCGCACATCAAGGCGCCCATCACACAACCAAAGAATGGGCCCAGGTTGCTATCGCTTAAGACTATCTGACTTGGACATAGGGACTAGCTGCAGCAAAAAGATGTAACCTCCGAGACACATAAATAAGACTACTGCTCGAAGGTGCTCTCGCCCATCCTCGTACTACTTCTGAGACAACACGTGCTCCCGGATGTGCTCCATGAAGGTCGCGTCGTCATCCGGGCATATCTGAAGAATCTCCTTGCGCAAGTCCACCATCTCGAAATCCGTCTTCTGACCACGCTTGAAGGCAACACTGTTGCCGTGCACACTCTCTCTGTAAGTAAAATCAGTGCTTTGATACAGCAGTTGGGCGCACAGGACTTGCAAATGATTGAGCAAGCCCCGTCTATCAAACTTCTCCGCCTGCCGTTTGCATCCGCCCAATGGGCATGGCAGAGTCTTTGTCGCGTCGGCGTGCATCCTCGCCACTCTCGACCTTTCCTTCCTTAACCTCCGTTTTCGTGTCATAGTGGGGACGTCGCTCCCGTCATTCTTCCGTTTCAGTGGGTTTGCTGGGGTCGTGGTTGGGCATGCATCAGTGCGAGTGGTTTCTGGCGATAAAGATCAACTAACGCATCGATCATTGTAGTATCCCAAATACGCACCAAACGAGGGATCTTGATCACTTAGTGGATCATAGGTGCCAGATAGCGACCTGTCAGACAACATACCAGTCGTATGGTCGAGTGTGACGTTAGCGTCTTCAATACCAAGATCGCGATCGGGACTGTGTGCATCTACACCACCACGTAGATATGAGTGCAGCTTTCATTTGTGATGAGACATGCAACTATCACCTTCTATCAGGGGAACTGGAATGTAAGCCGGAGCGGCGGAGTAGTTTGATATCCAGGGGTCTGAAGCAGGATCTGAACGCGTGTTACTCGGATCTTCGATTCGATACCGTTTGTACGTCCACCAGCACATGGCTAGCAGTTGTAAGACATCTTCTGCCGTGCTATCTCCGGAGGTCAGGCGATGTTCACGAAGCTCTTGTGTGATTCGTAACGAGTATGGAACATTAATCGCAGTTATGAAGTCCGCCGCAATCTTGATGCATGAGGTCAAGTTGGTAACCTATGTATAGGTGAGTCTGACTCATTCTTGAACAGGCCAGGCGTTTTCACACCTGATGTGCGACTCCTGCGGGGATAAAAACAGCCTCCCCTTGTCTCTGGATGAAGGTCCAGACGCACACTTTAGCTGCTCTCAGGTCTTCAACGTCTTTCTCGGTGAGAACGAGCTGCTGTGAGTGAATGGGGTGACCTGTGAACAAGCCGCGCTTCCATATGCGCAGCAATCGTTCGGCTTCGGCCGTGTCGTCTCGGTTGATCATGATCCATAGAGCGCCGCCATTTGAACCACCCTCTGCATGGAATAAGATATTGATGGCGTCGGTCATATCGCCATGCAAACGCGTTGTCGTGCCGCCGGCCGCGCTGTGTGCCAAGTATGCCTTAGGTCCTAACGTACAGTTAGTAGACCCATGGTATGCCTTGGTCCGTTGACGCACCAGTGTCTGGAGGACATGCATGCACGGGCATGTTCATCTCCAGGTTCAGAGGCCCCCTCTTCGACGTGATCCAAGATCCTATCAGGCAGTCCTCGAAGAGAGCGTATATCTCAGGAAACTCCTTATCGAAGTCCTCGGTTGGCGGCCAGTCCTGTCAATAAGTCAGCGTAAATCATGCGATTCAGCTATGTAGCGACACCTGAAGTTTCTCCGGGTTATCAGGATCTGGCGGCTGTCCGAATGTTTCCATAAAACTTTCCAACACAACATCGCGTTGTTCGCCAGTCTTTGTATTGGTGAGCGTTACTAGGGCGTTGCCGTGATTGTGGATGAAATACTCCGGGGTGAGATTACGGTTACCCGGATCGATGCCCGATACGGTGAGGGGAACGCCTCTCGCAAGGGCGCGGTATAGTTTTGAGTAGGTGATGGGGTTGGCTTTATCTGTGAGGGTCATCCTGATGAGATCTTCACGCGGGGAATGTGGACCGAGGTGATCTTGGCTGGAGAGGACATTAGAGATGGAGCAAGACATCAGGGGTAATCTTTACGAGGATGGTAAACGATCCAGTGCCTCCATTTCCTCAATTTCCACCAGTGCGTCCTCAAGCTCGTCCTTCTCGAAGGGTTCAAGTAGAACGAAGTCGTGATTGGGATCCTCGCGCTTCTGCTCCCCTTCCGCGCATGGGATGCCCAATGCCTGAGCTCACAGTCAGCGTTGTGTATGGGATGTAGGAACGTACTAACCCTACGTTGGCGCACACAATCAACGCAGAACTCATGAGCACAGAACTTGCACATCAAAACGCCACAGAATAGTGAAATTCTGCAGGCATCTATCCGAGATTACACTCAGCGCATGTGCCAGTTAGGGATGAGAAAAGGTACCGCATGTAGACCGATGACCGTCGAGCCGCGGAGTCCAGGGAATTGCTTTGTAGTCCAAACGAAGACGACGGTGGTCTCTGAGCGCCGGTCCAAGCGCGCGTGCGGCACCTCTCTATAAGTCGCGAGATCAGCTCTCAAACCCCCACTCCCGTGTTGTAGATGAATGCTCACCACCGCAGCCAAAACAGTCTGCTTGGTCCTTGCCGGCGGGGAGGATTTGAAGTGAACCTTGACGCGGGCAGAGTGACCCGGTGGTATGACTTCCAGTAATCGATACTCAGGCCGGGCCGAGACTCGAAAGGTCCGCTGCTCGACGACCTTCAGATTCTGATCCGTTTCTATCGGAGTATAGGCGTTGTTAGACGATACGTGTCGAACTGGCACACTGGCGACTCCGACACATACTGTAAAAGGCACACTCTCCCGGGCGGCCGTCCGCGCAGTGCCAGCACTGGCCCAGCTGCTTGACGAACGCCTTAGCCGCCTTGCTCCGAGTTCTGAGGAAAGCGACACAGTCGGCAGTTTGCGGTACAGTAGTAAGTGGGGTCATGGTGTCCGAGACTGACATCTACGTGTGGACCGGAACAATATTGATGAGTTATTCCCACGTATATGTTGAGCGGACTTCGCGAGCCTGAGCCCGCACACCACGGCTCAGCCTCTCTAAGAATGATATCCGCCTCTTCATCCTGGTGGGTGATAATCAAGCGTCCCATCCCCTACTTCGATCAACTGTTCCACGCTCACTGCCCTTTCTGTCGCAGTAAGGCTCGTGATGTTCCAAGTTGTTTCATTCGCCAGCAGGCTCCTACTTCCTGCGTCTCCTGTCCTCTACTTTCGTCTGCCCATGTCGCACATCTCATGCGCGTCGCATACCCAGAGCAGTTGCAATGGGCAGAAGCGCGGGGATCGTACGCGTAAGACTTACAAGACACCGTAAGTAAGATTCATCCCGAACGTCGACGGCAGGAGGAGGTGGTGGGAAATGCAAAACCGCCCCGGGCGGCCCTGGGCCGCCCGGCTAGTACGGTCCGATGTCATTTTCCGGGGTCTGCGCCCACTGGTCTCGCGCGTCTCCTCAAACACCCACTACATATTCCACGTTGACGCTAACCTTCATCATGTGGCCCGATCGACCTGGCTCGCCCGCCATTGGATCTGAATCATCTAAGTGTTCTGCTACGGATACGTGGCCCGACCGTGTCGGCATTCCCGCCGTGCAGCTGGCTCAATGCATCTCAGTACGTAGAGGCGATCGCGAGAGTCACACTGAGACTTACAGCGCTGTAGCGACATACATCGCGTCACATTACTTCTGTGAGAGCTTGTCTGAAATCTCTGTCGCTCGCAACGAACCCGGGTCGACGTTTTCCCAAGACAGAAGGTGGCAAATTCTCATATACCTATGCAAGGGTTGCAACCGCGCTTTGCTCAAGGACGACCGCTTTGGGAGGATCGTGGCTACGCGCAAGCCCTAGACGATGTCCGCCACCATGCAGCGAACCGGTTAATGGAGTTCGTGCTTCATACTGACAGAGTATAAGCCGCGTGCAATGAGAGGAATCCGGAGCGCCATCGACGTCAAAGCATTCGCGCCCTTAGAGCGAGGCGCGTTTACAGTGGAACGCTATATTTGGGCGCTAGGGTACCTTTGGGATGGTCTCGAGGCGGTGGTAACCGACGCCTTAGATCGACTCACACGTTTGACTCTGCGGAACGACATCCGCGGACACAGCGCTCCCTCGGACGCGGTTGCACGGTAAGTACTGATACATCAAGTTAAACGCATGACTGACGAGCGATAGCGGCTTCCTCGTAACACTTGCGAACGTCTGGATGCGTACTCCCTCGCTTGAGCGCATCGAGTTGCACGGCATAAGCACCTACGTCGACAGCGACACTCTACGAACTGTCTTGCCGCTCTTCTCCGGCTCGAACTGCAAACACGACGGTCCCAATACCGTACGCCGTTTCGGTCGGATCCTGGAAAGACTGGGGCTACTACGCGGTACCGCAGGCAGCGCCACTATTCGGCGCACGGGCGGTGTCCCAGTCCCTCTTGACCGATCTGCTCGCGTTGTCATGGGCAAATATGGTCGGCCAGGTCTCGTCTCTTGTGAGAATTACGGAAACGGCCCTCATGAGTCTGGCAGACGAGGGCTACACTATTCCAGGGTGGTGTCTGCTATCGAAGAGTACGGAGGTCGAACGCTCGCTCACCTCACTTTCCACGTCTCTCGGCGTTGCCATTCGGCGATCGCAGTATACATGTAACGCGTATATATAATGTATAATAGATATACATCGAGCCTATGCATCTCGCCACGCAGTTCCATGATGCCCTGGAGGGGCCGTAGCAGTTGCTGAAGCGCTGAAAGGCGCTGAAGTGTTGAAATGTCGGCGGCAGGTCGGGCCGTTTTAACCACCCCCGACTCCAAGTAGAGCGGCAACTCGTTCCAGATGGAGCAACCTACCCCGTAGGCCGTATGTACTGCACACTGATACACCCAGCTGGCCAACACCATCAGGAGGTACGGGATGTGGAGGCTGTTGGTCCGCGCCCGGGAATCTCCGCGCGCACCCACACGCATATCCACGGCGGACGAAGATGTTCGGAGGCACGTCGACCATCAAGCGCGTCGCGTCGCGCCTGCAAGCCGCGCCTCGGGGCCTCGACATGCTCGCTGTCCCCCACTATGGCCTGTGACTTTATGGGGAACAGAAAGAGGCTGGAAGACGAGGTAACGAAGCGGTATCTCGGGAATGTAGTCGCTACAGCTTCCAGGCAGTGGATAGTCGAACTTGACGCGGCGGGATACAGACTGATCGGATCAGGACGCGTCACGGCAAGGTGATATCCACCCGCGCGCCGCTTTCTCTCGTCATTGGCTCCTACCTCTATACCACCATTACATGTCGTACCCCCGTGTGACCGTCAGTGCCCAGCATCGTCCTGTGTAACCCGGCAAATCTAGACCATATGCCATATCTGCGCATAGCGCGCCACATCCTCTCACATGCGCGGTGTATGTTCTGTGCACGTTGCACCAATAAACCGGCGCACCTTCACCTGGCCATCTGCTTACTGACCACTGACGCTATATGGTACACTGCAACATTTATGCACCTGAAGAAGATATACAGATTGGCTCGATGGTCTTCTCGTCGCCCGCTCGGTCCACTGCCTGACGGGTCTCTATCCGCTCTCATCCTGTCCTACAGGTATAAAGTCTACTCCGACCCCTCTTCTCTCCCTTCCACCGTCGTTCTAGCGCCGCTGCCGGCACCTTTTGCTTCAACACTGCCGCCGCCGCCGCCCGCCGCAAGATTACCCCAGTTTCGCCCTCGCAGATCAGAACCTG